GCTGAAATGTTGTATGTAGATATACTCAAGTCTTTTGCTTCTCCCCTCCCCCCCATTCCAGAGCTGATAATGTTGTTTCTCTCTAAACCAAAAGTGAAGTATAAACATGATGCTCTTGTATTAATAATAGCTTCTATTCAGTGTTTCTTGCCAGTTTGGGCTCTTATGTTTTAGCTCAGATTTCTTCATGGTTTTTTAGTCATTATAAATGCATACAAAAGCACACACACACATACATATCTCAAATTGTGCTCAGGTTCATAGCTTCCACATTCTCTGTTTCTGGGACTCTCCAAACACTTATGTGTACTAGTTGCCTATATCTCAATGAATATTAGTGGCATTTCGGAACCTAATTTCTTTAGCCTCTAATACCACTCTCCTCACTAGAGGACAACAGGGTCTGCCCCGACAAAAATGAAATCTACTGGGTTCTAATGAAGGATATGCTGGAAGATGGACAGAGTAAGGTATACATTCTCCATGGGTCTTAATTAGGTGTAGTGGCAGCCTTGTATGCATCTAACATGTTTGTCTTGATTGAAATTTTAGCCTGGCCAATCCTAGTCTGACCCAAGCTCAAGTATGACCAACTTCTGAGTAGCTGAAGGCTGTGCCACCCCATTGCCACTTTCCCCGCCAGCTACAATGTCTCATTGCTGCCTCCCCTGCCCATGGAACTACCATGGCCCCAGAAGGGTAACAAGAAGCAGGAGCTGGTGGTGAGCTGGGGAGCCTGGAGGCCCCAATACTTGGGGGAGTGGGGAGAAGGCAGCTGAAGCAGGCAGTGTAGGAAAGTGGCAATGGGAGTGGGGAACAGCTGGACTGTGTGGGAAAGTGCAGGGAGCCAAAGAGTTCAGGGTGGTGGGAGCCTGCGGTCCACAATTTAAGCACTCACAGGCTGTATGGAGCCTGTGGACCAGCAGTTGGACAGCCCAGCCCAAGTTTATAGTAGGGGATGAATTATACACAATTGGGTTTCCAGAGATACCCAGGGATCTCATGGATGCAATTACAACTGCATGTCTACCCTAGGAGATTTTGCCATCAAACATCTTTGGATGGCAAATATTTATTTGTGAACCAGGAAAGAGAGAATGAGTGAAGAATGGAACTTGGTTGTGGTCTGACTATTCCCTCCTCAAGTTTGGAGTCAGAAATTACCTTAGGGCCAGAAAGGGGAGCGAGCCTAATTTGTTGCTGGTTTAGAAGGCTGACATAAGGAAACAGGCTTGAGAGATCTTCTGGGGATAACTTTATATCTAGGTTTCGGCATTCTGGGTCAACCATCAGCTACTGTAGTTTAACTAGATTTCTATCTGTTAAACTATGTCTATTAAAATTAGTTGGGAGTCTCACTCTTCTACATCAGTGTAGCTACTTTGATTTTTACCAGCTGGGAAAATAATTCAGTGCCATTTGTACAATTCTTAGATACTGGAATGATGATCATTATACAAAATAGAAAGGAACCTGTTGTTTCCTGTGTAATATCAACTACATCACACATATGAATGTGAACTTCCTATATCTGGCTGAAGATTTCCAGATGGGATACTGCCATATTTTGTTATCCATACTTTCCACGTGGGAGCAGAATGATGACTGGGGAAAGTCCTGAATCTTTTTGTGCAACTAACTTATGGAGATGCTCATGACCCCATACTTGCAGGGGATAGGACACAGTAGTGGTACCACACAGGATGATATTCCACATCTTGCAGGGTATGATCCTGAACAGAGGATGTAGAATTTAACCCATAATGGACTATGTTGGGTTTGAGATCTTCAAAGCTACAAAGAAAGTTAGGACCCCTGCATTTATTCATTTTTAATGGGACCTAGGTGACCAAACCCCTTTCGGAAATTTTGACAGTCTTAGGGTGTCTCCCTGCCCCTTCCACTGAAGGGCATCCAACAACAGATTTGTTTCTTCATCTCTTTCAATCGTTCTAGGTAAAGTTTCCTGAACAAACAGTGGGTGGAAACCACAGCACAGTGACTGTATTCCTCCATTTGGGATTATCCTACTTTCCAGGGATTCAGAGTTTACTGTTTGTGTATTTGTCACTAGCTTTATGGTCACTCTGGCTGGCATCCTCCTTATTGTTACTATGACTGATCTTGCTCTTCATAACCCCATGTATTTCTTCCTGAAGAACTTGTCCTTTTTGGACATCTACTGTACTTCAGTTACCACTGCCAAGATGATGGCTAACCTCCTCTCAGAGGATGAATCCATCTACTTCATTAGTTGTGCTGTTCAGATGAGTCTCTTCCTTGTTGTAGGAGTGGTGGGGTGCCTCTGTACACTTTTGGCTGTCATGATGTACAACGGTTATGTTACAATAAGCTCTCCCCTAACGTATGTGATCATTATGAACAGAAGAAGGGTGTGGGCTGAGTTTGTAGCCCTTTCCTGGCTGGGTAGTGTCCTACTGCAGCTAAGGCAGGTCTGTTTGGTGTTTTCTTTGTCTTTCAGTGGCTCTAATGAAAAGGACCATTTCTTTTGAGACGCACCCTGATACTAAGCCTAGCTTGTGATGCTTCCACAAACATCAGGACTGTAGCATAAGTTGTACTGCTTGCAATATTCCTCTTCTTGTTGTTTTTTGTATTTTATTTTATGTTGCCTTCAATATCTTGAAGATGTTATGAAGTGAAAGAAGACAGAAAGCCTTCTCCATCTGTGTCAAATGCTGGCTTTATTCCTCTTGCATAAATTCTTATTTTAGGACCAGAGTGAAAGTGCAGTATGTGAATATAATGAGTAGTATTTTTTAAATAGAAGCAGAAGCCTAACTCCTGTTGACTTTAACAAATTCTAATGTGCTCTAAAGCACCTTCATTGTTCAACTTTGGGGTTTAAAGAGTATCAGGAGGTAGAAGTTAGCAGGATGTACTTGGGCCCAACTTTGCTGGGATGCACTGCTGCAGCTGCAGTGTAGACCAGGCTAGAAGAGCTCCTCCCACATTTTGGTGCCTCTTAAGGCCACACTTGGAATCAAAGATTTCCTGTCAGTGGAGTTGGTTCTCCCTTCATTCACTTTGGGGGAGATCATGAGCATCTTTTCCAGGGCCAGTGGAGCTTTCTCCCCTCTCACCCACCTAGTAGCAGTCCATGACTCAGTGGGGCTGATTTTCTTTTTATCCCTTTTGGCTGTTTTTTCTCATGGAAGTAATAGGCCCAATTCTTCTCTTAGTTTTGCTGGTTTCTGCCAGGAGTTACCACAGTGACCATGGTATAAAATAACTGAGCCTGAGAAAAATCAGATTTACCCCAAAACTCTATTTATACCTGATACCTGCTCTAAGGGCATCTATATACCAGCTCCAGGGGTGGGGTAGGATGATTTAAAGCACCCAGAGTGTCTTGTGTATCAGGGAACTTGCACTTCAAAATGGCAATGGGTATGCTTTATTTAAAGCTTGTCAAATGAGCTTTAGTTAAAATACCCCGCCACCATTTTGAAGCAGGGATATAAGACGCGGATTAATTAAGTCTGCTCCGATGTGGTGTAATTACATCATATCAGAGGATCCTCTGCCCTCATGTAGAGACACCATAAGAGACCCCTTCTGTGCTTTACTATCCTGTTTACTGCCTGTCCTCTGTGATGCTCATTCCATGCAATTTCCCCATGAAGCTGGAATGAGGGTAACAATGTGATGGTGCATGTCTGAGTCTGAAAATAATTAATTTGTTTCTCCAAAATCTGTGCTGCTGATTTTTCTGAAAACAGGAATGAATATTTATCTTGCTACAGTCACAGTTCCAGAGCTGGCTTTAGGTTTGGCCCCTCCTTTGTTTTCTCTCACTACACCCCAAATGGATGTCGGATCTGATACCTTCACTTTTCTTGAGGTGAAGTCCTCAGGTTCTTCCATTGCTATACCAGGTTCTACTTACAGTGCTTCCTCTAGCAGGCGCAGTTGGCCATGGTGCTATCAAGTCTCTCAGCAGGTTGCAGCAGTGTAGGGATGCAGAAGTGGACAATGCAGAACTGACTGTTTCCAGTTGTTGCAGCAATCACAATTGCAAACGTGGCTGCCATCAGCAGACACTTTTTTCCCCCCTCCTCCCCAGATTGGCACAGATTGTTACTAACAATAAGGGAAGTGACTCAACAGCCTTCTTAATCAAAATATTATTTAATCTTGGCATTAGGGACACAGAATATTTGGTCAAGACAAAGTTGGCACAAGAACAAATGGGCATAAGGTGACAATTAATAAACTTAAGCTTGGGATATGATGATGCTGTTAATAATCAGGGGCTCCAGAATGGCCTTCCAGCAAAAGAACTGGAGCTCAAGATGCAGCTAAATGGGTTCATGAAATGGATTGAATGGCAAGGATGGCAGCATACACAAGGGACTTGAGTCCCTGACACAGGAGTCCCCTTATAGTTCAATGTACATTCCTGTAAAAGATTTACTTTTTTTTAATGACAGAAGGCCTATATGTATATGCATCTCTCATGAGGCTTAAGGCTTAATGGCCACTGTCCCTCAAAGCTTCAGAGTCCCAACAATTTCAGATCCCCCAGATGTTGTCTGTGCATTTTTTGCTCCCCATATTCAACTCCTTGTCCCCTGGACTGTTAAGTCCTTTTGATTAGTGAGCTCTTACTATTGGCAATAAACCAAATCAAATAAACTGTGTGCAGTTGGCTACAGCCAAAAAATGTTCTTTACAATTCATAATTCAGGTACATACTGAAACATTTGCTAAGGGATGTCTTATCTCCGGACAGCATTGTTTCTTCCTGTTTGTTCTTTAACAGCACTGCTGATTTAAACCACTACAGTCATACAGTAAACGCTTTCTAGTTATGAAACATATTCTATTCTTAAATAATTAAAGAATTGACCCATATCTGTCCCTGTTACCATGGTAAATAGGTTTGACACTGGAATCGCACGTAGTCAAGTGCAAGGATTTTCTAGTCTCTTTTCAGAGCAATTCTACTTCAAATGAAGTTTGTTTGCTCATCTGCTTCACACCATCCCGTCTTTGACTGTTCTACTTAATATTTTTAACACGGCCTTTTTCACTTCTTGGTTCCTCAAGCTATATATAATGGGGTTCAACATTGGAGTGAAAATACTGTAAGCCAAAGAGATGAATTTGTCCCGGTCCTGTGAGTGACTGGTGGTCGGCTTCAGGTATTTCACCATAACAGAGCCATAAAATAAGATGAGAACTATCAGGTGGGAAGTACAAGTCGAGAAAGCTTTGTGTTTCCCCTCTACTGAACTCATTTTCAGAATGGTAGAGATGATGTTAACATAGGAACTCAGAGTGATGAGGAAAGCCAACAACCCTAATGTTATACCAACAGTGTAAACCACCATTTGGTTGGCAAAGGGGTCACTACAGGAGAGCATGAACACCTGTGGTGGCTCACAGCTAAAGTGGTTAATTATATTGGGCCCACAAAAATGAAGCCTCATTAGGAGGAGGGTGTTTGGAAAGGCATAGATAAATGCAGTTATCCATGCACTGCATGCCAGCTGGACGTGAACCCATTGTTTCATGATTGTAGTGTAATGCAGAGGATGGCATATAGCAGCATATCGATCATAAGCCATCACTGAGAGAAGCAAGCCTTCAGCTACAATGAAGAAAATTACAAAAAACAGCTGGGTGGTGCAGCCACTGAGGGAAATGGTCTTTCTCTCCACCAAGAAGTTCACCAGCATCTTCGGGACAGTAACTGAGGAATAACAGATGTCAAGGAAAGATAAGTTACTCAGGAAGAAGTACATGGGGGTGTGGAGGTGAGGGTCAGTTCGTATCACAAGCATGATCACCACATTTCCCAGCAAGGTGATTATATATATAATCAAAAATACCAAAAAGAGGAAGATCTGGACAGATGGAGAAGTGGAGAGTCCTAAGAGAATAAATTCTCTTACTGTGGTTTGATTTTCTGGAACCATTGTTTCAGAGGAGCTGTAGCCTGTAGAGGGAGAAGAAATTCAAATGATATTCCATTTTCATGTGTTTAGACCAAATCAATTCCCTCCCCACATTCAAGATGCATACTAGACGCTGGATTTCCTACAATGTGATGGGTCAAATTCTGTTCCCAGTGACAGCTAGCAATTAACATATACCCTGGTTGCCTTCTGCAGCATGAGCTCACATTTATAGTGGCATTAAGTACAGATGCATGTGGCCCAGCATCTGCAGTTCTTTAAGCTCAAATACATGGTAAAATAAACAAGATCTGGGTTTCTCTTAACTCCCCACCTGGTATATTGAATATGAACCCAGCAAGGGCTATATAGTTCTCTGTCCACTATGCAGTTTTGAGATCATCCCTACTATATACAATAATATGCATTTAGTTAGAGAGCAGTAATGCACTTGAGTGTTATGTGTTTTTCCCCTGTGAACAGTGTTGCTTAAAACAATTGTTTTAATTATCTGCAGGAAATTGTGCCTTTCAGTCAAAAGACTTGGAATCCTCACAAGGGATTTTTCTTCACTTTATGGTTATTTAATGCCAAGAAGTTTCAGGAAAAAAAACTGCCAGGAAAGAAAATTGTCTGAAAAGGCAAGTATATAATGATGATGATAATAATGATAATAATAATCCCCAAAACAAACAGACAAGCATACAAACCCCTCAAATGTTCAGGGTTTGGCAGATCTTTTCCAATGTTGGGTGCTCATTTTTCCAGTTAAAATGTATTAAAAAAACAAACAAAAACAAAACGAACAAAATCAGAAATAACTCAAAATTGCTTCACAAATACCATGTCTTACTGCAGAACTTCAGAGTATTATTGAGCTACAAACTCACCTCTCTGTTTCCCATGCGCACAAGCCCATGATTAATCCAACTGGCCGGTGGATACAGTTCCTCTAAATTTACATACTTGTAAATTAAAACAGAGCGCCAGATCATCTTTTTTTGTTAACTCTGAATGGAAACAATGTGAAAGAAGGTGCATGCTGTGTGTATGCAACAATCACCAAGTGCCTAAACAACTTGCCATGCTCTGTACACCATTGGAAGATTTGGTTCAAAATTTAAATAGAAAGTTGAGGGTTAAATTCTGCTTTCAGTTCCAGTAAGCTAAGTAAATCAGCATCATCTTTAGTGTGGTCAGAGTGGTTAATTTAGGTACAGTTTTAAAATGAATCTTATTTTTTATAATTGTGAGTGGTTCTTTATATTTAGATTATGGGCAAAAGGCTAGAATCAATGGGTGAAATGTTCATGGTCTATGTGATAGAGGATGATGCCAAATTGGACGATGATAATTGGACGATGATAGAAGCCCTTTCAGGTTTAATATATATATAAAATATATATTTAGCATTCACATATGCCTGTGCATGCATGTGTGTGTGTGTAGGTACGTACACACCCACACACGCCCACACCATTGAAGACCATGGCAATTAGAGATGATTTGGCATTTTTCTGTTAGGCTTTATTAGTCAGAAAATGCTGATTTGTCAAAACTCATATTTTTTGAAGAGCTATGCTAATTTTGATGAAAATCCTTCAAAGACAAATATCTCGGGTACTGGAAGGTCTAGTTAAAACTAGGAAAAGAAAGGTCTCTGAAGGCTCTGCTAGATACGGCACTCAGCCCGGAAGCCAAAGTGCAAGCTGTTCTCCCACCTTTTCGGTGAGTACCCTACCCATGTGCGATGGCTGCCTTCATATTGATGCTATTACAATTTTATAAATAACTAAATAATTTTATTTGGCAAGCCGGAGTTTGACTCTAAAAGCCAGTGGCCAGCCTCTTAACAGCAAGAAGTAATGGAAGAATAACAGGACAGAGGGTTGAATCTTGGGTTCTCACAACTCAAGGTCTCCAAAACTCATAGCCACCCAGCTGCTCAGAGATTTTTCTGTGTTTTTTCTAAGAAAACTTCAGGGTGTTTTGCTCTTACTCCAATATGGGATGAAAAGATTTTTGGAACTGTGAAGTTTCATGGCAACAGGAATCCTCTTCCTGACGCAAGTCTAATTGCCAGTACTGATTTCATTTCCTCCAAATTATTTTTCCGTCATCTTAATGCTCAGACATGCAGAAACATTTTTAACCTCCCTGTTTGAAACACAAATGATACTTACCTCACAAGAGGTCTTCTAATGCCCACCCTTTCTTTGTTGGCTGCATGAAGAAGTGATTGCTGTATATGCAGAGCTTACACCTTTCACATTGTGTCTGTTTGGAGTTGAGAACAACTTTCCAGCCTCTTTTATATCCTCTTGGGCTCATCCCCGTGGGCGGCTGTCTGTCTTGCTGTCCAAAGGGAAATCACTGGAAGGTTTGTTTTGTGGTGAGCAAACATTGCATAAGAGACATCACTCATTTGAGAAGGGAATATATTTTCCTGTTTTGCTTTGGGACTATGAGATGCTAGGAGCCAGACAATCATTTGCTTTATTCCTGAGAAGAGACGCAGGGGTTGTTCATCCTCTCATCCAAGTCAGTGCTGTCTCAAATGCTTTTAGCGGGGTAGATTATGCCATTCTGCCCAGCCCAATGAAGGACTGGTACCTGAAAAGCACTGATCCAGCACTAGCCTTCATAGTGAGATGCAGGACCTTCCTAATGTCTTCCTTTCTTTCAACAGTTACTAATTTCTTCTGGGCTATGCCAGAATATGACATCTCCTGCACTGGGTGGCTGTGCCAGCTAGCTGGATAGAAGTACCCATTTTCTGCTAATCTAGAGGCATTTTTAGCACTTATGCACTGAGAAAAATTCTGTTCCTGGATTTAATAGCCCTGCCATATGGGATAACTGTGTAAGCACCGAGATTGGAAGAGTGAGAAGTAGCTCACTGTCCTCTTTCCCCCCCAATAGTCGAGTATTCTCAACTTCTAGATTCTTCTAACCCAAAAGGGGTTTGAACCTGAGACACTGACTTTCCAACATAGCACTCTAACATCACATACAGGTTAGGCCTTTCTCCAGCGCTGTTTTTGAAGTTGGCCCCCAGGACAGCTGAGAGGGAGGTCTGTGGGATATGTATGGTGACCACTGACAGCTTCTTGATATTATTCATGTTTCCTAACCAGTACTTAGCATTTGTCAAATGCAAGGGATTGCCAACTTTCAAAATAGCTGGCTTTGTATTCAGCAAGTGACAGCTTCTTGGAATAGTGTCGTCTTGGTTAAAAGCATAATAACTTCTTTCATGTGCAGAGAGTAACAGCCTGTGGCCCTCAAAAGTCAGCATTTTAAAAAATATGATTTCATCCCAACACTCAGTCTTTGCTACAATGACACTGGGTTGATTAAACTCCTGTACCTAGTATTTTTCAGTTATACTTCTTACATTTCTATTAACTCTGACATCCTACATCTGTATCACTGCCACCATTCAAAGACTGTCTTCTACCAGTGCGAGGCAGAGAGTCTTTTCTATCAGTTTCTCTCTCCTCATCATAGTTTCCCCTTTCTGTGAAGCCATTATTATTATCTACATGGATGCCAACATTCAGCACTTCTTGTAAATAAGCCTGAAGCAGTTTCTGTCGACTGTATTGTCCTGACTCCCATAATCTGCTCCTTCATGTTGCCTGACAAAGGAAGCAGGTAAAAGAGGTTTTAAAGAAAGGTAGGGGCAAAGTGTCATCTTTTCATAGGCAAGTCAAATTCCTACGTGATACAAAAATAGACTTCTGGTTTTACATGGAGTATTATCTCATTGTGTCAATTCCCTCATGGAAGAAAATCCAGTCACTCATATTTTGTGTGTATGAGTTACAATAGGTCAAATATTGAGGTCAGAATGAACCAGCTATTACTTCACTTGGTCATCCTCTTATTACTTCCCATCCCTGCTCTTAGAGACACAAGTGTGCCCCTGCCTATCTGTTGTCTATAAGGTCGTATCTACTTTTGCTTTGTAAGTTATGATAGGTGGGATCCTTGGTTCTCTGTATCCTCAATAAGAACAAAGAACTGGAAGAAATCTGGTACGTAGAATTCAGTCCCCTGCAATTGCAGGCAACCATATTACATGCCCCCTTTCAGAAAGACTGGCTCCATCTTAAATATTAGTTTTTCATTTTTTTTTTTTACTTCAGTTTATTTCACAAGAACTGTAATCAGGGCACCTAAGTCCCTTAGGTAGTTTTAGAAGAATTCTCGTGATACCCCTCCTTCTGCTTCTCTGGAGAAATCTTGCAACCTGGACCTTGTGGATTCATAAATTTAATTCCTCAACTATTGACATGAAAGCAGTGTTTGCATTCCCTTGCAGAGATTATATATTGTGGGGTATAGGAGTGGGGGAGGGGGGTGGAGCTGGGAAGGGTGGAATTTGAGCTTGGTGAAATTGAGATTTCATGCTTCAAGCCTGAGAAGCTCCTGAATGCCCTGGGGCTGAATATGAACTTATGTGAGTTGCTAAGTTTAGCAGTTAAGGAACTCCTCTGAACTGACCTTTCTGAAGAATATAGGAGACCTGAAGATTTTTATTCAAGCTCTGTGGCACATTAAAGCTTTTTTCACATGGCACTTTAAAGCATTTTCACTGTTATTCAAAACCTGTTTTTTACCTTTTCCTGCTTCCTGAGATCCTTGGAAAATTGGGGTTCACTTGCATTTTCAAGAGCATCATCTTTAGGTGGGCTGTTCATTTTTCCTTTACATGACTGCTTTGAGGTGGCTTCCATAGAAGTGTCTTTTTATGTCTGTATCCCAAGTTCAAACATATGTAAAACTTGGGAGGGATTTAATGAAGATACTGGTGATATTACTGGCAGGTTCTCATCACTGGTAGTAAATAGGGGAGACATGCACAATAGTGTCAAATGCTGACCCAGGAAAGAGCTTGAGAAGACCTCTAGAGCATTTTTTATTCCATCTCTGATATTATGGGCTACAACTATGCTTGTGAGTACTTAGAATTACATGGGTTACATAAGAACGTGAAGTTTCTTATGTTTCAAAAC